TAAAGGTGCTTTAGGGAAGCCAAAATTCATGAAGCGCGGCCTACGCTTGGTTGTTGTTGCCACTCTGACTCCTCAATGAGTGGGAGGGCGCGGTCCTACTGCGGAGCCTGAAATGCGAGCCAGGTGAGGTGGGTCCCAGTGGGTAACTGCTACAGTCTTGCGGCCCTCACCTTGGTGCGCCTGCTTCACTCTGCCTAGGGGCATCCCACCACCCTTTGGGTCCCATGGGCCATGCTCACTCATTAAGACCCTCCCATGGCAGACTGCAGGCAATAGACGGAGCTTCGTATCAACCCCCTCCACCCGGGCTTCTTTCTGCCCCGCGGTTGAATCACCCACCAGCTCGCATGCACGAAGAACTCTTTGGTCCACGTTTTAAGTTAAACAGGATAAAGGGTTTTCACTAGCACCCCAAACACGTAAGAACCATGAAGTCAACCAGAAGAGGGGCGCACACAAGGTCCTTAACTGGCATGACGACCCCCAAATCCGATATCGTGCCTGTCTCGAAAAACAAAAATAAAACAACAATGATGAATAAAATATTCAAGAAGAGTTTAAGTGTCACGAGCCGAACAAGAGAAAGGAACCGCAAGTACCGCTCCGACGACGCAGAATGCAAAACCAAAGGACATAGCCCCGCCCGGGCCCTCAACCCCTCGGTCCCTTCACGCTACTCTGATATTCCCGTGTTGTCGCTACTCCGATATTCCCGTGTTGTCACCACTCGGTTACGATCCCTAAATCTCTTTGGTGAAAGTTCGATGTTGTAACCAATAGTACTAGGCCCAAGTCCAAGCCGAGTACTAGCGGACACCTATATAGGCGGGTACTGTACGGCACGTGGATCTGCTGAAAGTTTTCAAGGCTATTTCTCGGCCTACCACTAAATCCACGACCGTGAAGCCCTGTTCCTACCGTGCGTTCACTTCCTCACACGCTCTGACTATAACCTAGTGTCGCGTTGTCGCCGATACCGTCCTTCGTACGTATGCATATGTCACGGTCAAGTGTACTAGTCAAAAGAAAAATATTATTTTAATTTTTAGTTTACTCAAAAAATAAAAAACTTGGTCGGCAACCATGCGATAAGAAGAGAGATTACGCGCGCCTTAAATCTGTACGCCCACACACTTTCTACTCTAGTCAACCATTCAGTCCACACAAACCTCAAACACCTCCACACCTCGCACGGTATACTTAAACTTTAAACCGAACTTATTTTCTCTTGTTTGCAAAAAGCAGGGCGGATACCCTTGTAAGGGTATTCGCACCGACACCACTGTCCAAGAAATGGCCTTGTGAATACAATGGATCAAAAGGTGGTTTAGTCCTCAAACTCCATGGAGTGTGTTAGCCTAGGAACAGATCAAAAGGTTAGCTCCACCAACCGGTGATGAAATTGACCCAATGACATGGTTGGAAAACAAAGCCTCGACTTTACCCAGAGCCACAAGGATGAGGGTAGAGGAGTCTGACCTATCCAATAGGGAAGCTGCCAGAATAGACCTTGCTAAAGACCCCTTCTGGTCCTCCCTTATTAAAACATGGAGAAAACTTTCACTTACTGACAAGATCCCCCCAGAAAAAGGTGGGAGGAAGTCTGCAGACAACCACTCTTCAACAACATCTGGATCAGAGATTCACAAGGATGCACCCTACATTGCAGAGACTCACCCTGCAAAAGATGGATAAGAAAAGGAGTGATTAGAATCAGTGATACCTGGGATACACAATACTAATGATTGGATCTTACACAAAAAAAAACAGGAAAAGTTGAAATACTGCCATCATTTAGAGGCTGCCCTTGATAAGATACTAGAACTAATCCCAATAGGCTGCACTAAAATACTCGAAAGAGGACCCAAAAGCAAAACTAACGATTGGGTAGTCTTAAAAGATGACCCCCAAGTGACTAGAAACATTCGCCATATGGAAAGGAATGGAGACGTTCTTATTACCCTCTTTGATCTCAATGATAACAATGTTTTAGTCCCCAGAAATCCAAATAAGGTCCAATGGGTGACGACAGATCAGTTTTTTTAGGCCCAAGTGATTAGCAAAATTCACCATATGGAAAGGAGTGGAGACGTTCTTATTACCCTCTTTGATCTCAATGATAACAATGTTTTA